TCCATAAATATTATCAGAATGTCCGTTTGGAGAGTGCACTGTTGTATAATAGATCGCCCTATTGCCTCTTCCATACAAGAGGCAGTCGAGATTCGTGGTCGGCTGCGTTCGTGACAGCGCGACTGAACTGTGCGATGATTTTGCCGCGTCGTGCTAATCTAATGAATATTTGAAGAGAAGGCCATTTTGTGCTCATTTTACGTTGTCACATAACTATCCCACCTCTAGAGGTGGAGAGGGGTGCTGCGTTGCCTTTACTTGGGCAGTCGCTGCCGCTTAAAGACACATGGTACGCTCATACACATTGAGGGTGTATGAGACTATCAGCCCCCCAGATGTCGATGTGTCGTGGTCCCCCGCCCAAACATGCCCAGGAATGGAGATACAGGGCCGTGAAACACGCTAATTCTTCCATGCTCCGCCCACTGCCTTTTTACGGCGCAGATTCCCGCCGTTCATAACATCCGTCGTAAGCGCGCCTGTCGCGTGCGGCTCCTTGGCACTTTGCCAAGTCCTTTAATTGCGCTCTCAAATACAAGGAAAACGCAATTTTCCTGATGCGGATAACATTGGAGGTGTACAAAATAAGAGCAGAAGATGATGACGAGGGTCAGAACTTAAAAGCAACTGTGCCACTTCTGCAACATCCCTCGGAGGCCACGTATTTCCACGAAACATGAAAATAAAAACGGCATACTCGTTAGTTTAATACAAGCAAGACGCAATTTCCTGATGCGAATAAAATTTGAGGTGTTGCTCATGCTTCAAAATCCATGTACAAGGAGATGAAGATGACACAGGCTAGAAATGAAGCACAACGATGTAAATGTAAACAAAACAAAAATGAAAAAATCAAGGAAAGGCAAATTAGATAAACTGGCCTGTAAATTTCTACGATCCGGCGCCAAAGCCATAGAAATACTTAGAACAAACGAGTGGGACGCTTGGGCTGTTTTTATTTTCATGTTTTGTGGGAATGCGCGGCCCTTGATGGATACTGCAGATGCAGCCGAGTTGCTCTTGAGTTCTGCCCCTTGTCATCATCTTCTGCTCTTATTTTGTAGCACCTCCAATGTTATCCGCATCAGGAAATTGCGTTTCTTGTATTTGAGAGCGCAATTAAAGGACTTGGCAAAGTGCCAAGGAGCCGCACGCGACAGGCGCGCTTACGACGGATGTTATGAACGGCGGGAATCTGCGCCGTAAAAGGCAGTGGGCGGAGCATGGAGGAATTAGCGTGTTTCACGGCCCTGTATCTCCATTCCTGGGCATGTTTGGGCGGGGGGACCACGACACATCGACATCTGGGGGGCTGATAGTCTCATACACCCTCAATGTGATGAGCGACTGATGTGTCTTAAGATGTTGCATAGTTTTCACTTCGGACAATCGTCCCATGTATTCCTCCAGTAGAGTTTTCTGAAATTAAGGTTTCAGAAAAAAAAAACCCAATGCTACGCAACATTCCAGTGCAGCATGATATCTCTTTGCTGGCTTGAAACGAGCAGGCCCGGGGAACTAGTCAAGAGAGGCTGCCAGGTTCTTACTTACTTTTAGGAGTATACTACGTAGTTTTTATTTGCTTTTTCCTTTCCCAGAGAGTCATTTAGCGACTGCAAGTTCGTGATGAAACACCTTTATCCACTAATATAAGTGGCTATGTCCGTGTGTGTGTCTGTGCTGGGTTTGTCGAGCGAAATCATAGCACGCTGAAGAGCATTTGGAGAAGGTCGGATCATGTGAGTATGGAGCAGGACAGAAATTTAAATAGCACCCATGACCCATGGTAAGCGCCGCCCACAGTGGGCGGGGCCTGCGTCAAATTTAGCGGTTACTGAAAAAAGCCAGACTCGGTTCCAGAGCAGTCCCAAGATGAGGAATAACAGAACGGGTAAGTGAACACAGCTGAGACGACAAACGAGGAGGTTACACTCGGAAATCGAGGCGGGGAGTACTGGTGGGGATGCGCGCGCTTCCCATGTCACCGAGGAAGTCACCGTAACTTTGGGCTAGCAAAAACAGCCTCGAGGAACTGGAAATTGGAACTAGCTCTCCAGTTTGGTGTGCCGCTGTGTTGGCACACCAAATGGAGAGACGACCTGAAATTGGGCGGGTACTTGAGATGGCGGCGCTTCCCACAAAGGTTGGGTAGACTTCGGGTGCCCGAAAATGGTTTAGGATCGCCAGAAAAGGCCCGATGACGAAGAGTGGACGTCTGCAGAGGAGTCCGAGCCATGTGACTGGCGGTGCTGCGCCGCCTACAGGGCCGGGCTGCATTTCTAGCACGAGGAGACAATATAAAAAAGTCTTAGTCCTAAAGCACTACAGGATGGCTTTGCTAAAAAGTGCATGTGATGTCCCCAAGGATCAAATGTAAGAATGTTTGCGAAGGCACTCCGTTGTGGGCGGAGCCTAACACCGATGTGGGTGGTAGCTAAATTCCGAAAGAATTCGCAAAATGGTTCCAAAGCGCTCCAGACACCGGGAAAAAGTAGTTTAAGATCCGAAAGGGGTTATTAGTTGAGAAGCGCGAGGTATACGTCGTGGGCGGGGTGTGCCCCGAGCCGGGTGAAGCCAAATTTAAAAAAAAATTCGTAAAACGGTTCCAGAGCACTCCAGACACCGGGGAGAGTAGTTTAAGATCAGTTATTAGTCGAGAAGCGCGAGGCAGACGCTGTGGGCGGGGCGTGCCCAGAGGTGGGTGGCCGAATTTAAAAAAATTAACAAAACGATACAGGAGCACTCCAGACACCGGTAAAAAGTATTTAAGGTGCATCGAGGGGAGTCACGGGTTCTCAAGTGTTAAGGCACACCTGTTTGTGTGTGGAGCGAAGCAGTCAATGGTGAGCGGGGCCAGCCTTTGAAAATTCCCAGAGCACTGGCAGTTTCAGACCTCATTACGTGATACGGCCCGGGCTTTGCGGGGCGTGGTTCCATCGCGCCTACCTGGCTTCGTATGATCGAATGCCCGACTAAGGCTGCGTTTATACTTTGCGGTAGCGTAGCGCTTCCAGCGTACGCCAGCGGCAGTGCCGGGGAGAGGATGGATATCGATCTAGCGTTCCCAGCGTCACCAGCGTAACGCTAGCGTACGCTAGCGTTTCGCCAGCGTTTCACCAGCGTTTTGCTGGCGTTTGCAGCGGCAGGGGAGTAGAGACTATGTGGCCGTCAGAGACGCGAATCGATGTGTATTGTAGAGACTATGTGGCCGTCAGAGACGCGGAATCGATGTGTATTGTAGAGACTATGTGGCCGTCAGAGACGCGGAATTCGATACGGCGGCCTGTGTATTTGTAGAGACTATGTGGCAGTCAAGAGACGCGGGAACGATATTGTAGCTATGTTGGCGAGTCCACAGTACGCGCAATCGGATGTGTTTTGTACCCTCAGCTCTCCACAGTCTCTACTCCCCTGCTGCCGCAAACGCTAGCAAAACGCTGGTGAAACGCTTGGCGAGCGTGACGCTGGGAACGCTAGATCGATATCCATCCTCTCCCCGGCACTGCCGCTGGCGTACGCTGGAAGCGCTACGCTACGCTGCCGCAAAGTATAAACGCAGACTAATACTCGGCTTTTCTTTCATCTGTCCGGTTGATCAACGCTCCTTACCACCACTCCATACACCGTAATAGTGTTGAAAGTAGCAGGTATGATACTATTGGTCAAAGGATGTTGACCACTTCTTCAGGTAAAAGAAAAGCCTGATACTAGGCGGCTAATGAAGAAAATTGTATGAATTCTGAACTGGTGAAGTAGCGTTGAGCCCGAGACTTAATAAAACAGGAATTCCCGGAATCGTTACACCTACTACTTGAGCGCCATAGAGGATGTGGGAGCTTTAAACCCAATAAAAAGGGAAGTATTTTATTGAGAAGACTACCCAGTGCAATTTATAGCCGACAAACATTTTGGCACAATGGGAACTACCTATCCCCCACCCGTAGCGTGGTTTCCGAGTGAGCCGCGCTCGCCTGAGGCGGTGTGGGGCAGAAGGACGGCGCCCGGCGGCCCCTAGTCTAGCGTCTCACTCGGAGTTTAAAAAGCCGGGGAGCAAGCGAGTGGGCAAGATTCGCTGTGAGGTTTTGGAGGGGCTTCGTGCGGAGGTCTAATCGGGGAATGACAATGTCGACATCCACTACGCCCGGCGACACAAGGAAGGTATCGGATTTTAAGCGAAGACAAATTTCGTTCTTGCTTTCAAAACATGAGACTTGAGATAATCAGGCCGAGAAATCCTTCTATCAGTTCCCCTTCTATCCAGTTCATTCTTTTTTTCGCATTAAAAAACTATTCAATGAGAGACTCAATAACTCTGCAAGTCATATAAATCAAAATTAACATAAATGGGATGGATGGGGGTAAATTGTGCTGCAACTGTGTGAAAATCCAGTACTATAGGTGGTCGTATACATGACTGATTGTCAGATATGTGATGAAAAATCTGTCAAGTATTTGGGATCCTTTCTAGAGGAAAGTTTCTTCAAATATTGTTGAGCATGCCCATTAAGCACCTCCTCTTCTCTGCTTCATAGAGAAAATGAGCTAAGACGGAAATAGCGGGTGATTTCGATGTGAAGCGGTTGTCGCCTGAAGTATGTACACAGCAAAGGCGAAATACATACAGTCTTGTTCGCCGCGGAAAGCTGAGATGTATCAGGGCAGAATTTGGCGCAGCGCCAGCCCTTCTTGGACAATTAGCGCCGCGCCAGAATCCTGAATGCAAGTGGCATACTACCACCCCTTGTCGCCTAATTGCATAGAGCAAAAAAAAAAGGTTATCTTCAAAATGGCCGCAATAACAATATCGAGTATCGAGTCGCTTTGAAGATCCATTTGATGACTATATAAAGGATAAAGTCTTCGCCGTTAATCAATCCCTTTGTGGGATGCTACACGCATTCTACTTCCATTCAGAATCGTAGTGGCTTTATTGAATGCGATGTGGCCTATACAATGAATTGCGGTGGCCAGCCGATGTACAAGTCAGTGTTTTATCCTCCCAGACGAATCTGGTACCAATTTACCGTCCCCGGAGGGTAGAAGGCTTGGTTGGCCTGGGCGGGTGTCGACCTGGGATTCGAACCCAGGACCGCGCGAGTGGTAAGCGCGCCACTTGTCACTACACCACCTCCGCCTTGATAACTATATACTGAATAAAACCTCTCCCATGCGCAAGATAGCCCGGCCAGCAACAGCAGAGGTTGTAACATTTTCACCATTTGGAAGTGAGTGACGAGGGCGCTGAGGACGTCTTTAGCCCAGTCCCACCCACTAGCCGTCTTCCTTACTCAGAAATGGATGACTTTCTTCTTAGACCCATGTGGGACTGCTAAACAAAGCGAAACCGCGTCCGTCATCTTTTGTTCCTCTATGGTCTCTTGGCAGTGTCTCCTCAGCTCTCCTTTGCTCTCTTGCTCATTCCATGCTTGAAGTCATTTGTATAACTTATTTGGAGCCTCTCAGCCTCTTTCGTTTTTCTTTTTTCATTTGGTAATTCAAGTGACTTCCTACCCTTTTTCCACCAGTTTCCGGACTTTTCCAAAAATTTTCTGCTTCCTCCAGGATTTTGCTGTCGAGCGGGAGGACAGGGGGGGGGAGAGGATAATGACAATTCATTCCCATCCATTCGTTCTATTCATAACACACAATGGACCCAGTATGGAATGATGAGGTAGGCGGCCCGGCTCAGCAGAGCGAAAGGGCTTATCAGAGCACCTCGTACGTTGAGGGATCTCCCGAAGGGGGGGGGTTTTGGTACTGTTTGGGAGGGGGAGGGGGGGGGGATGGGGACCCGTCCGCATTAAAAGTTCTTTGTACAACTACTATTTTCCTGATTAGCCTGGGAATAATTATTTGGTTGTCCCCAATCTTCCCCCCCCCCTCCTCCCGCTCGGCAGCAAAATGTTTGGGAAAACAAATTTTCGGGAAATTCCCGAAAAACTGGAGAAAGTGGTAAGAAACCAGGAAAATCTAGGAAAGGGGTAGGTAGTATGGGGAAGGAGGGTCGTAACAGAGGTGTTGCCGGGTTCCGTAACTTCCGAAAATTTTTCCCAATAGCAGCAATGCTTTGATCCCTACGTTGCGAATCGACAAATTGAAAAGTTGCGCAGATAGTTCGATACGAATACATTCCTCTTTGCGGCTCTTTTTTACGTTTGTCAGTTTTTCCTTTTGCAAGGAATGAACGCATCCTTACACTTGCTCTGACCACTCCGCCTATGAGAATGAACCTGGCGTGTAAAAAAATGAGCTTCAAGCTGATTCCACAGCCGAATTAGGAGGGAAGAAAGCAAATGTGTTGAAAAAGAAACACTCCAAAACACAGATGCTTCGTTTCGCTCCTTCATTAGGCCAACCTTTACCATTTTGCAAACCCGGGCGTACTGTACCGTGCAGGAAGCTTGTGCGCTCCCATCGCAACGCGCTAACAGCGTGATTCAAAATTGCTCACATTTCTCTCTTTCCGTGCACTGTAGTTTTTGTTTGTTCAATATGTTTCGGTTTTTGTCTTTATTTTGTTCATTTCGTGTGGATATTAACAGTTCTCTCTAAACAGAAACATGTGCGTTTTACTCTTTCAATGCTTGTTGGCTAGTGAGGGGGCCCCTAGAAAGTTTTTCTGTTGAAATGCCTATAATAGTTTCATTTTGATAATTTATTAGCTTTTGTGTAAAGGTCCTTATATACTCTGGGTATTACTTGTTCGCCTTTTTTCCTCATATAGCTAACGGCGCCTATTAGTCCGAGACAATTAGATTATTATGAGGGTTATTCCCCCTTCTTGCCCCTTCTCTTGTTCCAAACCATGATTATACAGCTAACATGAAAACATGCAGAGCGCAGGCAACCCAGCACACTCACACAGAGCAGAAGGGTGTCCTCGTGCTGCTCACGAACTGTAACGATGACATGTATGATAGTACAGTTGGCGGCAACGTAGCTGGGGATATGGAGGGGGAGCACACGGTGGGTCTCTGCATCCTTTCCACAAAAGGCTGAGGCTTAACTGCGACTGCGGTCTAGACAACGAGTCGCTGAGGGACAGTTTCGCGGAGAAAAAGGGCTACAGAGCCGCTGATGTGTGCCCCCCCTCCCCAACCACGCTAGCGCCATGCAGTCATTCCCAGCAGCAGTCAGTACCTCTGCTATGACGGCTGATTGATGACTCCGCTGATCGCTCGATACCTACTATTACCTCGCACTATTAAAGCGCGTTCATACTTCGCGATCGTACGTATGAGCGGCTTCGCGGCATTGTTTTGAGCGTCTATCAACGTTTTGAGAGACTAGGGAATTGTAGGTGTCGATCCAGCGTTTTGTGCGTCCACCAGCCTTTGAGCGACTGGAAAAGTGTAGGTATCAAACTTGCGTTTTGAGCTTTCAGCAGCATTTTCAGCGATGATCATACCTCTACATTCTCAGTCGCCCGAAACGCTGGTTCGATTCCTGTACTCTCGTGATCGCTCAAAACGCTATCGCAGTGTATGAACGGACTCTGACTAATAATCATTTCCCATCCACTTTCCACTGTGTCCGCTCTACCGCCTATTAAGGTTAATGCGAATGACCGCGCGGAACACGCACATATTCACACACAGGACGATTTTTTCATAAGAGTACTTGTCATTTGCAAACGTTCCTTCATTTACTTTGGCGGCTGCACGCGCTCTCAAGCCTGAAGAGAAAATAATCAGTCCTTTTTTGACTGCTGCTTACCTCACTTCCAAGCTCCGTGTTCTTAATCATGGTCCCGTGGAATTCCGTTTGCTGAACGTATCGTTTTTTTTCAGAATGGTGTACATAGATTACGTGTCCATTTCGGAAGCGCTGTCCGATTTTGGTTACTCTTTGCAGGAGTCAGATGACCTCATGACGAAAGGTGACCATTTCCCTCCGTAGTACTCGGTCTTAGTGAACTCAAGCGGGTTCCTTTATAAATATTACTTCTTTGAGGAATATCTGACTATTTCAGTTAACTCACTCGCTACCGAATTCAATCTTGATGTCGATGACTTTATTGATGAATTACTTGCATCGGCTGTCAATATGAAGAAGATGGAAGTAGACTTGGCCCTTTTAGAACACATGGAAGCAGTTCGTTTTCTTCATTCTTCTTTCTTTCAGCATTACCTTTGCATTTTTGACCGGATAACTCCGCGCGTTGGACCTGACCTTTTTCATCTTCCCCAACTCTCCGCATCCCTAAGGAAAGGGCTGGTGCAACTGATAATATTAGTGCTGTGGTAGACTTTTACCTACTGTAGAAGTTCCTTTTTCCTTATCTTCTACTGGCATGAACAAGAACTGGTTTCTTGAAACGTCATCTTTGAAGATTTCCAGTAGGGGAGCTCCTTATCCCGTTAGCTGCAGGGTTTACTAACAACCTTGTGCTGCTGAGGCTGATTCTTGATTGGAATTTTCATCTCGTTCGGAGACTTTTGCGCGGTTGACAACTTGAACAGTTGGTGTAACTGTAAGCATCAGCTGATTAACATTGTTGAGTGTTAAACTTATGATTGCTTATCTCAACAAATTTGCTTCCTCATACTGCAGGGACCTAACAATCATGGTCGGCTCGTACATTTCAATAATGTTCCCTCATACAACTCTTTCTCGACTATTTAGTTACAGTTTGAAATGCAATACCTATTTTAAGGAACTTGTCAAGAAGCTGAAGAAGAGTTTAGACCGAGTCGTCGCAAGTTCATCATCGAAGCCGAAAAGGTATGCTGTGGTACACATAGGGTGTACATTTATTTTAGGTCAATTTGACCCGCGTGACATCCTTAAAAACGGGAACAATTCCATGCTTTTACATTCTTACCTCCTTCTCATATGTTGCGCTGATGGAGCAGACTTCAATGTAGAAGAAGTACAGTATCTCACAAATTGCTTTTCTTTTCAAGGACAGCGTTTGGAGAGCGTCCTGTCAATCAATTAGCATTTGATGTTTCTTGCATCGAAGCTGAGGACTCATCTAATGAAGATTTTGGATCTACTAATCTTAGTGGAGTATATCGAGCATTTGCACCCGTTTTGTGAGTTTTCCTAGATTATATTTATACACGTTCTTTTTCTTATCAAGGGTGTTTTTCCATGTTCTGTATTTTTTAACGTGGAATTTGTTCGTGATTTATGGAACATGCGAGATGAACCTAAGCTACCTATTGTGTTGAACTTATCAGTTCCTTTTCCTTTGTCCATTTGATAACCTCCTCTCTGATTTCCAACAAACTAGAGTTTGTGTAATATTTTCAAGATGTTGCAATTTGAACATTACTCATAAACACTCCACAATTTTGTATTGACAGCCAAATACCTCCAATTTCAGAATTTTTCTATCTCTATTGAATATTATTTTCTCTTCAGGCCTTCTCCTTCAAATGCTAAATACCAGGCCAGAGCTGAGCGGTTCGTTGTCACACAGCAGGTTCAGGGACAGCTCTTTGTGGAGAGCTCGGCTCCTGGAGGTCCAGTGTATATAGAAATACTTTCTCCAATGCCCAAAGACAAATACGCTGTCGACAAAGCATCAAACGTAATAGATGGTAAGCGAGCAGTAGTTCATTGGCTGTATTTTGTTCAAACTCAAACAATTTGTTTAAGCAAAATGTGAACGAATGGCTAAATTTGCCGCCCAGTGTCGTGAAGCTAATCCGGAAATATCTGAATGGTCGACTCCATTAGCTGGTTCATCGGTAGGTCTTGGGGTTTTATTTTTACTTCGCAAATGTCTCCCAAATGTATTTTAAGCTATTTTGTAGTTGAAAATTTCCTACAATATTGATTTAAGGATTCCGATTTCGTATATGGAGAGATTGTGCGGAGTATTTCCGAAGATATGCCTTTGAGCGACCATACCGCATCGCTCTTGCTGGATGACGAGAGGGGCACAGTGGTCAAACTTGATCTCAGTCGCCTACCAGAAGTCAGCGTTTATCCTGGACAGGTAATACTTTTTATATTTCTCACGATAAAATCTGTCATGATAAAGTTTTCATTTTCAGTTGGTGGCATTATTTGGCTCATTCGAAAGTGGAGACCGTTTCATAGCATCTCGCCAGTTTTTCCTCAAACCACTACCGTTGTCTCCTCTGGATAGACCTTCAGTAGACGGTACTATTTTGAAGACTGATTTTCAGATCGATTTCTCTCATAGGTGGTGGCAGTTAATAAAGCGGAGAGTTGTTTCAACTTTTCTCAACAGCTCCGACCTTGGATTCCATTCTACGACTTTTTATGTTATACATTGACACACTTACCAGTGAAGATATTCTTATCAAAGTCGTAATTTTTGAGTTTTTCAGAGAATCTCCGCGTATGGTGTGCTAGTGGCCCCTTTACGACTTCGGAAAATTGTTCGTACGAACAGCTTCGCGATTTGCTTGAGATGGTGGCAAAAGAACAACCGCACGTACTGATTCTGGTATGGTAATTACTCATGACTATGTTATTATGCAGTTGCATGGAACATTTGTTCAAATTTTCGCCTTAAATTTTTTGAGCTGGGACTCCATATTTTCTAGATGGGACCACTAGTGGAAAGCAAGAACGCCTTTATGCAACGACCAGAATTTCCAGAGACTTACGAGAACGTTTTGAATCAACTTATGAGAAATATTGCAAAATCATTGGAAGGGTGAGTCTAGCTGGAGGATTTATCGTCGAATTACCGTAAAAAAGCTGGGTAATTTAGCTGCCGAACGGAGGTGATTGTACAACCTGCTCCTTTTCGTGACGCGTGTTGTGAGCCTGTCTTTCCTACTCCCCCATTTTCATTCACCTCTGACGTTTGTAAAAAGATGGGTCGTGTGAGTTTCTGCAATTTCTAAGACGAACTAATACATTTATCATTTGGTTGATGACTTTTAGCGTCTTCATTGTACTCCTGAACCGTGTGTAGTTCGTATCAATGGAGTCGAAATAGCACTAACTAGCAGTGAGGTGAGGTTTTGTTGCGAGCTGCTTTCACTTCAGGAATAGCATTTTTTTGACGCGATGCAGCGATTAGAATATGTTTTTTTGGAAAGTTTCGGCTATTTCACTAGATTTAACTTCTCAGCTTCATCCTTGACTATGCGATCCTTGTTTGCTTTGTTCCATAATTGCTAGTTCGTACTGATTTGAATAAGTACCAACTAAACTTTAGCGGGTAAAACCTTCAACGTTCACCCTTAGACAAGTCTTCATTTTTCAGCCTGATAGAAGAACCCTTCTCGATTTTCCTGCCTTCTTCAGAGAGCCGAGAAAGCCTCCAGTTCCTCGATTTTCGAGCTGCTTGGCCAGACGCTTTATCCTTTCGTTTTCCAACATCCTGTCGCGAACCCTCCCGAGCAACCAGATGCTAATTTCATCGAAGATACCACCTGTTATATTGTGCCTCACGAGGTCTTTAGGTGGAGCTATCTATTTGACGGCCTTACGTTTCGACTAATCGTCTTCACGTATCAAAACGCGAGACGCACGTAGCACTGGTGACTTTATACTTTATAGCTCGCAATACGGAATGAACGACAGGAGGTCATTGGAAATTGACGGACGCTCGTCTCGGTTGTTCATGCGAGGATTTCTGACAGAAATCCAAAACGCCTCTAATGCCTTCCTAGCCGCAATATCCGTCTCCTGCGCCAATATTGTGCACTTTATCGCAAAGTTGTCGCCGTTATGCACCTCCGCTTTATGCTTCCCAAGCGCTGTCGTAAGTCACCTCATGCTGGCTAGATGTTCTTTGATACGTTTAGCGAGCGGTCTTCCTGTTTCTCCGATATAGGTGCATTCGCATGTCCGACATTCAATCTGGTAGATCACGCCCGTTTGTGCGCAATCACCGATTTTTCCGTACGGACAAATGACACACCCTTCCACTATACACTGCTTGTCGTAGAGCCTGTTTCGAACTAGCTGCTGCTTGATGTTGTTGTTAGGAATGTTCACTAACTGAGGGGCATCTTGCAGCTGGGCTCTAGCAATGCTCCGTTGTATTGCGGCAGTGAATTATCAAAGATGAAAGGAAGACATAGTGGCATTGCTTTGGCGCAAACTTCCTCGCGTGTTCGTGCGCTGGCTTCCATGACGCTGTGGTCCCCTATAACCGTTCTTGGCAACCTATCTCACATGCTGAACTCTGATTCTTGACGTTCAGCCCTGTGCACATACTCGTTGCTGTTATCAGCATGTTGTTGACAACTGCACGTTTGACGAATTGTGGATGAGCTGACATGGCGTGAAGTAGGATGTTCTTCGAACTTGTTTTACGGTACCACTTCACACTAGCAATGCCTCCGGATACCTTCACCTGTGTGTTTAGGTAAGGAAGCCAACCGTCTCGTGGTACCTCGCGTGTGAGCTTGATGTACTGTGACTGTTCATTCATTATTCGAAAACACTCGTCCATTTCGGACTGTGTTGATGTTATGATGAAGCAGTCATCGATATACCTACAGTACATCAATGGATGACGCTCTAGTACCGGTTCTTCGATTCTACCCATGAAGCATACCGCAAGAACTGGTGCTAGTCGTTGACCCATGGCTAAGCCTCCGACTTCCGAGTGGTATCTCCCGTTTGAGGATGTTGCAACTCAAGCATTCCTTGACCAACGTCATTATATGCATTTTATCAAAGCCCAAAATGTTTGGTAAAATGCATATAATGACGTTGGTCAAGAGTGTTGGGTCCGCCTTTTTCACCTGCGCAGAGCATAAACTCCGATCGCGCGATCGCGCTACTGTGGGTGAAATTACACCGGGAGGGGGTCATGTTCGTTCATGTTTATTGTTCCTGTTCTTTTTTCCTTTTCCTTCTTTCTTCCTTTGTGTACATAACGCCCTCCTAATTTTAAGGAACGTTTCGAAATATCTTTGAGTTATTTATTATTTCCTATGTAAAATAGTACTAAATATACAATATGCTAATTATTATACTGAATTTTGCATCTGAGTACGTTCAAGCGGAGTATTGAACATCTTGTTCCAAAAGTAAGACACGCAGAACTTTCAACAGCGGGTGATGTTGTTTCTCTCCCTTCCCCCGATTTTGCCAGTCCTCCAGATATTCACTTTACTTTTGTCACATTGTGTTGCTTTGTTTGTTCTGCCATCCTCCAGGTCTATACACAACCTTTCCTTTCGACGGTTTCTGCAAACGTCAGTATTGCGAATATGAACACGGCCTAAAAGACATCAAAAAAGGTCGAACTTACTTTTATATCTGCCTATTGGAGGCAGGATACAGCATCGTGATGTGAGAAATGGTGATATCAGTACGACTCCCCCAGAACTTTGTTGTTGTTGTTTGTTGAGTTGAGTTGAACATGAACGAACATGACCCCTCCCGGTGTAATTTCACCCACAGTAGCGCGATCGGATCGCGCGATCGCGAAGTCTGAACGCGCTCTAACATGCCGAGGTTACAAGGAGAGAGAAGCTGGAGAATGTGACTCGTGTGTGTTAATAGTGTTTGTGAGGACGACAATCTCATTCGATCGTCTTCATGTTGTATGTATTTATTAAAAAAGGTCGTGGTCAGTCGTGGCGATATCAGGAAGAGTGGAGTGAGCCCGCCAACGGTTACCTTGCTCTACCATTGGTGATCGATGAGTGATAGAGTGGCAAGAAAAGCAGAGGTGAAGGCCCCGCGGGTAGCTGTTTCCATCCATCTTGAAACTGACTATTGCGACGGTGCCAACTGCGGGTCATACATGTGACTGTAGGACCAACTGTAGGGGGCTTTTCGCATCTATACAGATAAAACGGCAGAATCCCATTTATTCTTGAAAGATACTCGCTTCGCTGTGTTCGGCGTTCTTGCGAGGAGCTTAAACGATCTCAGAACTTCCATAGACGAAGATTTCTGAGGACAAGGTTAAGCAGTGGCCCAACAAAGATTACCAGCGTCGTTTATCAGAGGCAAACAAGTTAGAATTTGAAATCACATTGAAGTTTCAGCAATAAACATGTGATTTGGTTGGAACCACCAGTCCTCCGCTTTGGCCACGACTTACCATGACCACTTCTTTCACCTGAATATCGTTCACCATTTGACGAGAGGTTCCCCCAGGTGAAGAGACCTGCTGTATATGTCCCATCCCCCAACTGCTGCAGTGATATTCTACTTGAATACATATTCATTTTCATGATCTGCTCACGAATTCTAGCGATGATTACAGGTAGTCGTTCATCTTAGCAAGAATGAATGGCACCGATCACCAGATCAAGAAAATCGGGATAGAATCACTCGACTTAACTCTCATTTACTAGAGTAAGCACATATGGTTCTGTTACACTGAGAAACAATGACCTGACATAACTTTATTACAGCCAACGCTCGTTGTATCCACTTTCACCGCCTGCAATACCAACATCCATGGAGGAGTTGATGAAGGTTTGCAGTCTGCGAACTGCTCCTCACGTCATAATCAGTTCGTCCGTTTTGGCCGCTAGTATAAAGGTTTGACGCTTAAACGCATAATTTTTACTTACTACAGCTCGAGCTGGTATTATGTTAATATACCCATGTTCATTATAGAACATAAACAACACTATTGTGGCGAATCCTGGCGTTACGGCACGGGGAGGAAGCGGAACGTTTTTGAAGTGTGAATTCTCTACGTCTGTGGCGCAAGACGCTTCAAACTTACCTGATTGTTCAAGATTTGAAATTGTCAAGTTATAAGCATAGAGTAAGCTATAAGTATTGAATTTATGGCTTCATATTTCACTGACATAATAAATATTGCACGTGCCGAAAAGGACCGCGGTTTTCCACAAGACGCGTTCCGGGAGAAAATCCCACATGATTCTGCCCAAGACTTCCAACTCTTGCGTAATATAGCTTTGACAGGTCCTTCTTCCGTGGCGAGTAACAGCAGTGACTCATCTATCTATTCAGCTTCTGGATAGCAGTAAGTAGGTTAGTGAGCCCAGTCGAGAATCCACAAAAGAATGAATTTTCTACAAGAGACACGGCCTTATATAGGGTAAGGCTAGACAACCAGAGTATGAAGAAACAGTACATGGTAAGCAATGTGGCGGAATCAAATCGCGCGGGATTCAGGCGTTATAACTAGCTTCATGTTTAGAAAAACGTGAAAAAGAACATTCAAGATGACAATGCAACATTGTTTACAATTCTTCAAAACTTTTACAATACTTCAAGGAATATAGAGGGACGATCCATAATACTAAATCTTCTAGGGGGAATTCCCTTACACTTGTACTTTCGAGAAATGGTGAAAGTATGCTTGATTCCATCTGGGAGAATAAAACAATACTGAGGTGACTCAATCATAAGATCTCCGCAAGTGGTTGTGGGCTCCTATCAGGTTGGGGAAAAAAGTGGTTTTATTCGTTCATAACGTTAAAACAAAAGCAGTAAGTTCTTTGGACTACGCCCCATCACCATTTTGGCGGTGAAGGTTTGAAAACAGGTGGTTGTCGGAGGGTGAGTAGGGGGGGGGGGTGGTGGTGGACCAAGTGGGAGCTGGCGACGCACAGACGGGTGGAGGGGGAGGGTCCATCTAGTCGCACGCTACTCTTCGTCGTTCTTGCAATGTGTGGTCTGGTGCTTTCCTGCTGGAAGTTAAAGGCACTTTCCGCGAAAAAAATAAGGCTGTAGCCTCTCAAATGTGTCAGATGATCCGCCAGGCGATTCTGGAGCTACCTTCAAAACCTGAAAATTAGCAAATTCCCCGCTGGAAGCTGATCAATTGAGCCCATAGGCATCACTTAGGCCCATGCCGGGGCTGCTAGCTACTAGCTAGTAGCCACTATGCTATCTCTCCCCATTTCGAATGGTGAGAGTGAGGTGATAAGATAAAAGCTGACATCGTTATGATAATGACGAGTGGGAATTCGTACGAGCATACATTCTCTTCATTGCATGCACGTACAAGTTGGAGTCGGTATGGAGTCCTATTTAGGGCACTTCGGACTGTTTTTTTGCATCTTTTCGCCAATAGTCAGTCACCTACCACTTTGTCGTTCGTATCTGAGCTCCGTTACCGGCAATCTGTGGTCGCGGGCCTTGCCTTTAACATTGGTCTGTTGTCTGTGAATAGCTTCAAGGCGGGTCTTCAACTTTTCTAGGCCGAGAGTGAGTAAGAAGTTGGCTTTCATTGTGTTTCCTCGTTCAGTACTCTAGGCCACGAGCGCCTCACCATATGCACAGCATTCATTATATTTTCCGACCTTGGCGTTCTACTTCACAACGTGAAAAACGGTTGCGTTCTACTTCAAACGTGAAAATCGTTGTGTGTGTGTGTGTGTGTGTGTGTGTGTGTGTGTGTGTGTGTGTGTGTGTGTGTGTGTGTGTGTGTGTGTGTGTGTGTGTGTGTGTGTGTGTGTGTGTGTGTGTGTGTGTGTGTGTGTGTGTGTGTGTGTGTGTGTGTGTGTGTGTGTGTGTGTGTGTGTGTGTGTGTGTGTGTGTGTGTGTGTGTGTGTGTGTGTGTGTGTGTGTGTGTGTGTGTGTGTGTGTGTGTGTGTGTGTGTGTGTGTGTGTGTGTGTGTGTGTGTGTGTGTGTGTGTGTGTGTGTGTGTGTGTGTGTGTGTGTGTGTGTGTGTGTGTGTGTGTGTGTGTGTGTGTGTGTGTGTGTGTGTGTGTGTGTGTGTGTGTGTGTGTGTGTGTGTGTGTGTGTGTGTGTGTGTGTGTGTGTGTGTGTGTGTGTGTGTGTGTGTGTGTGTGTGTGTGTGTGTGTGTGTGTGTGTGTGTGTGTGTGTGTGTGTGTGTGTGTGTGTGTGTGTGTGTGTGTGTGTGTGTGATTAACAATGTTTGACAAGTTGGTGGGTTGTTTGGTATGGATCCTTCTCCACACGGTTCCGTACCAAGTCCAAATCTAGTGTCACTGAGCTCCCAGACCAGTCCTCTTCTTCAGTGAACACCCTTCTTGAACTTGCTGATCGGAAGTCATACAGTCCACTCAACTGCGAATGTTCTTAGAGAACCTCATCCAGGCGTAGATAGGTATTAGGGTCAAAGCCAGACAGGTGCAGGAACTGCTAAGCACGACATGTAAATGGTTTTCAGATTGCGAAAGCATATCAGAAGGTATTTCTATACTTTAGTAAGTACTCTGCAGTTTTGTAGCTCTTCTACTCCTCAGTCGGTTGAGTACCCACCTGCTCTCAATCAATACGCAAATGGCTACAAACCGAGATCAAAACCACATGGTCAGAAATGCATCATTACTTCCTTTTCAACCTGAATCATTACTTCCTTTCCAACTTTATGTACCGTATCCAATACCCCAGCAGGATTCTGAACGGAAGCAGATAGCATCTGGCACCCTTAAAAGGTATTGCATGTAGTTCAGCTTCGGTGGATAAAAAATGGTGCTTGGCGAAGCTTGTACAAGAAACTTTGTGAATACCCATAAATTCTTGTAAGTAACGCAGAGCATTATCATGCACGTCCCCCCACCCCTACATAAGAATTCAGTAGGTACCTAGCCTTTCTTAAACTTCCGAGCTATATCACTTTCCGTCACCTCACTTTTGTGAAAGCATGTAAAAAAATGCAAAGTGAGGGCTTCAACTATCCCGGACTACTCGATTAGAAACCCCTTACTTTAGATCATAAGTAGTTTCCATGGAATAAATACCATGGTTCGAATTCAAAACTTCAGGTAACATAAACGTAGCTCCGAACTTCACATTCATCATTGCCTAAGCAATAGCAATATACTCTACTCAAATATACCCACTATTATTTATTTCCACTCCAACAAATAAATTGTGTTACAAACGCATAACGGAGATCTTGGAAAATAACAAAACATAGTCGAATATGTGGACCGTAGGAAAAGTAACATCGACGAGAAGGATCTTCCCGGTAAAAAACTTCGAAGTGCATCATGGAAGCAGTCCTAGAAAAAAGTGTCTTGAACCATATACGATAACACCGCGAAGATCAGCACTGTTTCCAGTTGGAAAAAAAAGAGCTGGATCAATATGTAACAGATTTTCCTGCTAGACTCCAACACCAAAACTCCCTCCATAGTTAAACCAGTCATTTATCAAGAGTTCATGACTTCCAGTTGTCAGATGTTGCTCCTGTGTTTTTTTTTTCGCTAGAAGTGTCCACCTTAAGACAGGTTTAGAGATCACAAGGAGAGGGTAGTGGGGCTCATATGAATGTAAGGTCGTAAGAAGTCAACAGTAAAGAAAGAAAATTAAAGAAAAAAAACTTTCTGGCAAGGACCTACCCCTGATCCGAACTTATACGAGCATGCAGTGAAGAGAGAGTGCTTTGGTATGTTCCACTTGCTGGTATCATAACGACTTAGCCCCTACTCTTTAGCACCTCAACTTCTCTCTTGCAAGTGCACAAATTAGGGGTGGTGATGGACATATAAAAAACGTCCAGCTGTTGTGAGGATGGTCAAAAAAGTTATTTCAAAAGAGGTGAAGGTATTTCATTCAGAAACTTGCAATCAAAAGCCCCTGAATAAATCTGCCCGTTGTGGTTTGCGCTGCTACAAAATCAAAGTGTAACGTGATGGTTAAAGAAAAAGTCGTTCCGTCAATCCATTTAGAACAAGCACACGAAATCAAGCGGGTTATATTGAGTAGAATGGAGAAACAATGTCAGTAATTGTGCCCAACTAACCTAATTACGATCTGCTGCGCCTTCTGCGCGGCGAGCGCGAACGACTGCGATTGAAACGGCTTGATCCAAGAGGAATCATATTTGCATTTCCACCTCCACGATCTCGGCCGACAGGTGAACGCCTTCGTGCCGGACTGAAGAATGGTAAACATGTCCTTTTAAAAAAGTCGCAAACAGGTAACAACATACCTCCTTCTGGCAGGACTTTTACGCGCTGGAGAACGACGAGAGGCAGCGCGATTGAGCGTCAGTTCAACACTCACAACCTGTCCATCGATTTGGCCCCCATCAAAGTATTTCAGTGCCTATAATACGAGTCGAATTCAGCTACCGTTTCACAGGAAAACAATCATGACTGTTTCGGATAATAAAGATGATGACAATGACCCTTTGTAGAGAAAATGGATAGGTAATATCATCCGAGGATGCAAAATGATTCAATCTACCGTAATTCGTATTATGGGGAAGGATTTCGCGTTGTACATGTCAAAGCCTTTCCAGAGACATAATGTCGATCCTCCTCACAAGGGAAGCTTTTAACTTTTCAACCTTTTAACCGGAAAGGTTTGGTTGTTGGTTCAGATTTTCTGAAAGAGTACGAAATGCTGTACGGAATACGCAATTTGAAATAGCTACCTGCGTCTCGCAGTTGAATCCGAGCGCTCAAAATCTGCATTTTACAATGCACTGATGACACTAGCGATTTCTAGTGCAACGATTTTCTTCCTCGGGATGTCTGACGTTTAGCACCAAAACACATTGGGTTACAGGTGCACAGTGAATGTTGCAAACGGATTTGGCGACCATGACCAATCATAACCCGCCTGATTCCCACAATCAGATAGCAGTTTCGACTTCCACATAAGAGCGCTTCCAGACTCCGCGAAAAACGCTCCGTTCCGCTCCGCGATACGATCGTCTGGACCCGGTCTAACCAACATGCAAGGCTATCAACATGAGACTCCATTCAAAGTTCTATGGGGAGTTAGAACCCTCCCTGGTCAATGGTTCCGTGGTGTTATACAAGAGTCTGCCTCTTCTTGGACCAACTTGCCATCTAGAATCATGCTCTCAACGTATTAGTAGGTAGTACAGTATTGATTCAAACTCTTCCTGCAAAACATCAGAAATCAGTAACGAAGAAATTTTCGCCCGACTGGATACGACGAAACGGGAATAATGTGCCATGATGATAGTGAAACTACTAACATATTGAACATCTTAATGAACATCCTCTCTACTTCACAGCCGATGTAGTTAAAGGCAGTTAGCACGATAAATCCCCCAAGGCGACTAGGATCAATACTCCTGGCAGGATAGAATTCCGCGACCCTGGGCAGGCGCTGCATAGCGGTTTCCCCGAGGAAGGTGCCCTTATAAGGGCTATCAAGCCACAACTTTACGTCCCAAACGCCCGCCACGCCCGCCCGCCCACAAATGGACGACCGTTCCTGACGCTCGTATTCATTCATTTGCTAAGCAAATTATGAAGCGAAGGGATTGGTATGAAGCGGCCGTGATGCTGCATGCATACATGGGTACACATATGCAGCCGTAGCGGTGATTGGTAAGATGCCTACGGGAAACTCGTCCGAAATCGATTTACAAGTCACTGAGAACGGAGGCTTTTTCTTCGCAGGATTTTGACCGTTTCACTCCGTTCTTTCGCCATTTCCCCACTATACAGCGCCCTAGCATTAGGCTAAGTAGGAAACCATCGTGCCAACTGCCTTTAAGCTGGTCAGTGATCGAATGCCCATGGAGAAAATTCGTGGCAAACATAGGAGCCGCACTGATCTTTTGCAACTCGGAAGATTAGCCCAAAAGATCGATTCCCTCATTCCTTTTCCCTTGAGTCACAAAATGTGAACACAGTCCAACGAACATATCCCACTCAAAATCGCATCCTACGACGAATGGCTTTGGTGGGCTTTTTCCATGAACATTAGGCTAGGATGAACGAAGAAACCGTCTTATCGAAAGAAGAAGATGAAAGCGCAAGTAGGAAAGCATAAGTGCGTATTGATCAAGCACCCAAATTGACAGACTAAAACAGTAACTAGGTAACCAACCTTTTCTGCATCTTCAGCATTTTCATATTCAACATATCCGTAGCCTCTGTGAAGGTGAGAATAGAACCTTTCAGGAGGAAGGTCACAACTTTTTATTTGTCCATACATTCCAAAGATTTCAGCCAAGTGCTCCTAAACACAACCATAAGGTCCTGTAATGTTTAGAGACAACTCATGCTGGCTATGGTGACCGTACCTTGGTAACATTTCGGCTAAGATTTCTGACTGAGATACGTCTGGAAGGACTGGCCTTCCGAGGAGAAGCGCGACGAGGAGACCTTAGGATAAGTAACATAAAGAAAAAAAAAATCGATGCTTATCTGAGCAGCAATATACCTCTTAGGAGACCTGCGAGGAGAAGCTCGACGGGGCGATGAACGACGCGGGGAACGACGACGCCCACGGCTGCTGCTACGGTCACGGCGTTTTGGTGAGGTCGACACACGACGGCGCCGAGGAGAAGGAGAGCGTCGACTAGGGCGATCACCTGAAAATGAAGCTCCAGGAATTGCAGTTTGAGGGTAACTACAGCAGCCAATTTTTTTTGAAAAAAGTGTGTCAACTAAACAAAACCAAAATCGTTAAAATTGTATTAATTTATGTCATATATTTTTCAATGGAAAGGAGCTTTTTTAAATACGAATGCTACTTTTACGGTTGCCTAAGAATTAAAAATATACCTGCTCCTCTCTCAGCTCTTGCCCGTGCAGGAGATCTACGTGGCGAACGAGAACGAGCGCGAACGGTAGTCGCCTGAATTTATGAGTCTTCTCTGAGGTAAATTAGCCAGCTGACTTTCCACACTGCAAACCTTTCCAGCCTCTCTTCTATTACGTGGTGAAGGAGAACGAGATGAGCTTGAACTGCTCGAAGAGCGAGATGATCCGGATGATTCACTAAAAGCAGATGGCAAGTTGGAAAATAAATAATATTAAATAGAATAACAAAATGTCAATAAATAACATCGGAGCGAATATTACCTGCTGGAAGAGCTACCCGATGAAGAGCTGCTACTGGATGACGCCGAGCGAGATTTGCGCCTTTTTTCCTCCTCTTTTTTCTCGACCATCTATAAAAAGGTTCCCCATTGAGTGAAACCTCACAGGTAGAACAAAAAAAAAACTGCTAGGCTGCCTTCATACACGACAATTTTGATGAAATGGCGAAACTGGGCTGAAAGGAAGTATATGCATCGATTTGGAAGACCGCGCAATTTGGATAAATGCAGCAGTTTGGAACCTGGAGAGAAGCCAAAATTACGGAGAATGGCTTGATGGACTGATCGCTTAGCCCCGCACCTGGGAGAAATGCCGATCCTGCACAATTTCGGCATTTCTACAGTTTTCCTGATTCCGCGGTTTTCTAAATCGAGATGTGTATTCTTCTATGTATAGTTCTGTCACTTCTTCGAACTCGTCATGTATGAAAGTAGCCTTATGACCATAAAAATGAATTCCCGAGTAACTGTCAGCAAACTGATTCGGATTGACACCGAGATTGTTGATATATCTTTATTTGTCTGACATTTCCGTTGCCTTCTTCAAGGCCTGGAAAGTCGAGCTACTCGTCTACACACTATTTCAACCTACACAGGACACACCCACACAGGAAGTTCAAATAGTCATTATAGTGGTTTAGAACTTCGAAACTTCCTCTGCAGGTTGGTGTGGACGAAGCTCCGGAAATCTTTCGACTTTCTAGGCTTGAAGAAGGCGATGAGCCAAACTGTCAGCCGACTAAAAATTATGACAACTTTGAAAGCTAAACGCAAGCATTGCTAACATTTACAGAGGAGTATGTCAAGATTTATAGTCCGCATTGGACACTATTTCGAAAAATCTCAAGCTTGGAGATGACTTCAGATGAAGGGACTACTCGAGAGGAGACAAAGACAAATCTGTCGGTAACCAGAAAGGAATGAATGCAAGGACACCCTTTTCGGAAAAGGAATGCCACACATTCGTTGATCATAGCTATGGGAATTTTCTAACCAAACAGGTTTCTGCGCCTCAATTCTCCACAATAGTTGAGAACAGGTATCGTGCCGTGGCGATATCGGAATGATGAACTAAGTAAGAAACAAATAAGGTTAATCATCACAAGAAAGACCGGCAGAAGTAGAAATGCAAAGCAATCGCTGAGCAAGCGCAAGCGGCGAAAGTCAAATGGTTGCGTGGTCCCGCAACGAACACCTGTTAGAGATGCGTCCCACATGTCTGTACCCTCTCCGAGCTCAACGTAGCCGAGGGTACCCTCTCATGCTTTTGTTTGTTCTTTGCTTCGTGTGGAACAGCGCCGAAAAGCCCGGGCCGGATTCACTTGACGCCCATGTCTCCTGTTTGCACGGGATGTACTCCGCTTTGCTTTTTGTTTTGATGAGGATCATGTGGCATATGATTGTGGTGCGACTGAGAGCTTGAAAAAAGTGCCATTCCTTTCATTTTGCTCGTTACTTGACGTTCACGGGCTCCATTTTGAATTGTTTCGCTCGTTAATTTTATAGAGTAGCGGCCATTATTCACTACCAAACTTAGACGGTACAGTATAGTTCGCCGCGGACGAAGGGGCGTGTCTGTGTGGCTGTGGCGCTAGTGTGATTGTTGGATATTTTAATCCTTCACATCCCTTTTTTGAACACTGAACATTTTTCGTGAAGTGCAGGAACTATTTGCATAAAAGAAATCGCTGCCTAAGCTCTCTCACCATTGACTTGTCAGGAAAATCCTCACCTTGGGCCATAGTTCTTGCAGCACCATGTCTTTCAGCATAAAGGATAAAGTCGTCCCGTTGATCAATCCCTTTTTGGAACGGCAGATACTGCTTCCATTCAGAAAACCGTGGCTTTTTGAGTGCGAGTGGCCTGTACAATGAATTGCAGTTGCGAGTCGATGTATAAGTCAGTGTTCTTATTCCCCAAGACGACTAGTACCAGTTTACCGTCGCCTGAGCGTAGAAGGCCTGTATGGTCTGGATGGAAGAATTCCTCCACCCCCCCCCCCTCCCCAATCTAGGAAAATAAATTGAAGAGATGGGTGGAAATTGTAAGTCACGAAGTGTGAACGCGGCCGAAAACCCTGTTCAAAGCATGCGCCGAAGTGGTCAGTGATTTCATAGATGATTATGAAGTGAGCCAATAAAGTGCCAGTAGAGAGCACACGAAGTTCAGTGCTCTTCCAAGATGCTTCGTTGTACGCTGACATACGCAGACGTACGCTAGATTGATACCTATACTTCCTTGTCGTTGGCGCTGGCGTTCGCTGACGTAGAGTATGAACGCTACTTCGAAAGCGTCCCATATGAATCTGTAGCTTTGTAGTTGATTTTGCGACATTGTGTAGTACTGTTGAAGCACATGAGCCCTCGTGGAGAGTGTGGACGTTGAGAGGCGAGGCACACACATCAGGCGAGCATGCACCACGCAGGCTTTCGCTGCTCCATCTCACTTGCGTTGGGGATTTCATACAACATGGAGAACCAATGTACAATACCTTTCGCCCTTGCCTCTGCTGCTACTTGTTTCCTGGTGCGAACAACGGGAATATAATGCAGACGTTTTTCAGGCGTTCTTTCTATGTTTACGGAAAAAGTGCACAGCTGTGGATTCATCTGGTCGACTGCTTGGGGGCTTGTGGTGCTGATAATGATGACCATGAGACCTGCTTGTGAATGGCACAAGTGCTTTCCGAAAATAATTTACGACACTTGGTGGACTCGAAAACAAGCCACAATGATAGATGACCTCACAACTGTGGTGTTTTCGATTCGTTCACTTCGTGGAAACTGAGTTTCTCCTTACAAAGAGAGCATGACCTCATCTTATAACTGTTCGTGGGAAGTCTCTAGCTCTAATCCCGTGACAACAAGCAACGTAGAAAGTGGTAATCAGTATAATAAACTTTCTCGACTTCGTCGAATTGAAACTTAATTCGTACGTGAAACCTTGTTGCGTGTGATCAGTGGATTTAAGCAACAACAAATGACCTGAACTGTCTGTAGTTCTAATCGCCTCCGGTATTAGAACTCTGCAGAAACGAAAGCAATGCCTCGAAAACTCGTTTTCTTCTGCAACTGGTCTTTGAAAAAAATTGGAGCAGTATACTTTCAAGTGGCGGCTTATCACGCGCTCGCCAGGGTTAAATCCCGGATCGGCTCCAGCCCAAGCCAATCAAGCCTTCTACCCTTCCCGGACGCTAAATTGCCTCACATCTCATTGAGAAAGCCACTACGATTTTGAATGGGAGTAGAATGCGTGGCGCGTCCCCAAAAGGGAGTGGTTAAGAGCGAAAACTTCATTTTAATTGATTGTAAAGGTCAGGTCCTGATTCAGGCTCTCTTGACATTGTGACATGGAGCTACGTGATAGCTCATTTCTACAGTTTTGCTTAATGTGAAGCACTTGGTGCTTTTGCGCGGCTTTGGAACGAGAACGTGCAAAGTCAGCATTCAACCTAACAAATCGGAGTACGAATGTCTAGAGACGAGGCTCGTTGAGTTGCAAAGGTTGCAGTAAGTGAATTGAATTGAACTCTAGCATTTGCGAATTGACGACGAATTCCTAGAGTGATGTTTTCTGCTTGCTTGGAGGTTATTCCCTAAATGTCATCGTTTTTTTTTTGCTCTCTTGGAAGTCATCCTAGAAACAATTAAAGGATCTCACGACCTTACATACATCGCCGGTAAATAGTCCGCTAGTTAACCGGGTGTATGTGGGTTTGTGGGTGTTGGGCGTCTACACAGGGCCAATTTGCATTGTGCCGTTACGGCGGTTCACCAAGGAACGAAACCAACCCTGTGTTTTGTAGTAGTTCTCAACTTACGCCCCCTTTCAGGTATTGCTTATTCATTACTACTATTTCGACATTGGGTTTTGGTTGTTTCCCGTTTTCATTTTCGTGAACTCTATATTATTGTGACCGGTTAATAAGACTTCTTTTATTATTGTGACCGGTTAGTAAGACTTCTTTTCATTGATGTATGCCTGAACTCATATTTGTTTGAGACGGGTTAGTAGAGACTTCTTTTCATTGATGTATGCCTGAAGGGGACCAAAAATTTCCTGACAGCTGGTCACGACAGGCTGTCTTTTTTCAACTGTCGGCTCGTTTATGCAAGCCTCTTTGAGCAAATATGGAGAACTGTTGACAGTATAATGATGACGGCTTGCATATTGAAATAGTGTTGCGGGATAGGTGGCTGGTGATATTAATGCGCGCAACCGTCAAAGACTGATTGTTTTGAACCTGCGTATGTCAAGCGTAATGTAGTAGGTCTGTTGTTGATTCTTAGTTTGTCTTTGACCACTCTGCCATCGATTGATCCTGTCGCGATGGAAGGTTCGGTAATCTCTCACTATGCGCTGATCACGAGGGTGACATAAGTTTTTGCCCCTATGGCAACTTGACGCTACTGAGCATCAAAATTGCCGGCTCTTATTTTCTCACCCATAAAGTCGGGTGTCCATTATTGTGTAGAATAGATGCTGCGTTGTGCTGGGATATTCTGTGCCATCTATCACTAAACATGACATTTGATTTTGATTCCTGGAGTATCATTTGGCAGCAATTTGGGGCACAGTCTCTTCACCAGAATGCATAATTGAGTGTTGATGCCCGGATGGTAATATGGCAATATTTTCGATACCAGCTCCATTGCTAGCTCTGCGTAAGCTAGCTCGGGAGAGAAGTGATTTCTCTTCAAGGTCAGGTTTCAACCCTAAGGGCGCTAAATGTGGGGTAGTGCTATACGTTAAAGGCGAGGTTGCACGATTGTTTCCCACTCGGCCTAAAATGCTGGTAGGGCGCTATGTAGTGGGGAAGAACGGCGAAAGAACGGAGTGAAACAGTGAAAATCTGGCGAAGAAGAAGATCGTCAGTCTCAGTGACTTGACGATTGAATTTCGAACGAGATATTACATAGGCAATCCTTGCAGCGCGATACTACCGAAAATACAGGTCGTGCATGTGGAATGTAAACTCTACGTATAATCTATGACAATGACATCAAACGCGTGACGCTTGTGCCATAACTTCACCACTCATGACTTTGATTTATAATTTGCTTCAGAACTGA